TTCTTTAAAAAAACAAAAACAGCACAACAAAAAAAAAATTAACCAAAAGGGCTTCTGACAAAACAAAAATAAAAATCGCTGCATATTTTCTCAAAAAAAAAAAAACTTTTTTTTCTTCAAAATTGCTGCTATAGCAGCGAATTTGGTTAAGAATTTAAAAAAAAAAGTTTTTTTCTGAATTTAATATTCTTTTATGTACATGAGATGTATATCCACAGTAGTGAAGCATTGTTTTGTGTACATGAGATGTATATTCTTTGTTTTGTCAGAAGCCCTTTTGGTTAATTTTTTTTTGATGTGCTGTTTTAGTTTTTTTAAAGAAAAAAAAGCAGCGATTTTTAATTTTTTTTTTTTAAATTTTTTTTAGACGAAATCGCTGCTGACGCAGCGATTTTGCCCTTTTGGCTAAAATAAAAAGTGATGTGCCCTTTTGGAATTTTTGACCATTTTTTTTGCCCTTTAGGCTCCGGACTCCATTATAATGAATGAGTTGTAATAGTCACTTTCATAGTATCATAGGTTGCATAAAAAACCTTAATTTGAACGTTTGTTTTTCGACGAATTTAGCTCCAAGAATCATTGTTCCATTATCAGATTACAACTTTGCTATACTCATTTACTTTGACACTTTCCTTTTCAATTATTCTGTATTTTACTTATTTTGGTTTTTGAATAAACGGACAAGATACAACAAGTTACCGAATTAAATAAGAAAATTGTAGAATATTTCTAACAACTTGTTGCATATATATACACATTGTTTAGATTTGTATGACAGCATCAAAATTTAATACAATAAATGATAGATGCCGTATTGTTGTTTGGTTTCTCGAGAGCCTGCTTGATTAATATCCGAAGCTAAATTGAATTAGATCAACTCAATATTTTACGGTTAAACTTTTCTCATGTCAATTTAATTTAAAAAATAAAATATTAATCAAAGTTCAAATAGTTTAATTCTGAATTAACAAAAAAAAACGTGACAACTAATTTGACCAACAGTATTAGTACTATTTACTGTGTCTACAAATTTGTAGAACATAATTAGTACTGTAGTGACCAGTAGATCACCAATCAGACCACTTTCAGTATATGTGCAATTGGATTTTTCCCAGACAAAGATGTACTAAAATTATGTGCAAATGGATTGAGAGACTTTTTTTTTTAATCGAAAATGACATATAAATTGACAAACAAAACATTCTCTTCTCTCACTGGGTGCAAATTAACACCACTACAAGGAAAAAATATCCAAGATCTTTTTACAAATCTGAATCTGACCCATAAAAACATTACAAATAATATGATGTGGTTCCTAGGTCAGGTCAGATAAAAAAAACAAAAGAAGAAAATACATCAAAATCCAAAAAATAAATAAATAGAGTGAATAAATTAGAGCTAATATTCAATTAATATCGGAGCATGGAATTAGTTAGTGACCGAAAAACAACTTCTTCACATGGAATTGTAATTCCCATGTCATGATCGAATCCAAATTCTTCCTCCGATTGTCGAAGGAGGCATTGAAATTCGGGATGAGTCAAAAAAGAAATAGGTACGATGTATCGAGTTCTATTTTCTCCCACGTAAACTGCAAAATGTCCTTTTGGTACATCAATGGGAAGTTGATAGTCTTCATCGTCATAGCCCTGTTTCACTCCCAAACTCGAACATCTTATTATGATTTGCTTCAAAATTGCAGAATGTGACAGCTTGTTTGATTTTCTGATGGCCATTTTTGTATGTTTAAATTCTTGAAGAAATCTAAAATAAAAAGTTGAAAACTTTAGGGTAATGAAGAAAGAGAAGCTACTAAAGAGGTTGTGGTGTTTGGAACAGAGAGAATGTGAAGCTATTTATTTATGGAGGAAGGTAACAATTATTTTAATCTATTGTGAAATTAAAATAGAAATAAGCGATAAATAAATTTTGTATTTAAACAGTAAAATTCATTGTTAATTCTATTTAACGAGTTTTGTTGAATGGACACAATAAGAGAGGAGGGAATTTTCAAGGAATTAGAATCTAGCTATAACACAACTATTTTAATTTAATCAATACTTTGGGCTAAGAGTGGCTTTAAACTAAGAAAGCTTTGGGGAATTCAAGGTGAAATACTTGAAAATTTCACTAAGCAAATAAACTAAATGGAATGACGTTAACTTAATTGTCCCACTACAATTAAATAAGCACATGTATTCCGTAAAAGTTTTTTGGCATCCCCTTTATATTTTCAATTTTTCTGCGTACTTACTAATTTATTTTTGTTTCTTAATTATTTTCTTCGTTTTAATTTGTTTTATCTGATTTTGACTTGATACAAAATTTAAGAAAGTAATAAAAAATCTTTTGAATTTTGTGGTCTAAATTAAAGATACGAAAAATATACCAAAATGTCATTTAATCTTTTAATTCTAAACATGTCAATCACGTGGAAAAATGAAATAATTGAAACAGGGGTGTAATTGATCCAAGTAGGATAGTTATATAATATAAGGCACCTTACAATACATAAAATATATATGTGTAGTACGTACAACTAACATCAGCTAGTCTAACGATGATGGTGTGTACACAGATCTTACATCTATCTTGATGGAAAGATTGTTTCGATACATCAAGGTATGGGTGGTTTATAATTATAAGATGCTGGTTTACTTACTCTGTTTTGTGAATAGCTATGTCTGGTGGATTTAAAACATATTCATTTGATATCTTGTCCCTTTGTTACTGCATAGTGCATATATACCGTACATGATATCCTTATCTTTAAATTTTGCACAATTATGATTTATTATATGTTTGATGTTGTACTATGGATCCAATAGTGTATATTTCTTCGAAACTTCCTACCTTAACTATCCTGTTTCTGGGCTCTCTGTCTCTGTCTAAACACCCCGTGTTTGATGGTTTACCATCCTCAGATAGTCCAATCGCGCTTTTGGAGATCGATTTTATGAATCATGATCTATAACATTTGACTTTGAATCTGTTTTGCCTAGCTAATTTATCTTTATACAGACAACGAACCAGTAGATCATCTTTACAAGCTTGATCGCGTGTCTTATTTACAATCTCTGTATCATTGGACGACTTAGTGAATTAGACAAGATTTCTTTATCTGACACAAAGTGATGGGGTCTATTAACTCTAAATCTTGACATCCAATAAGTAAACAACCTCATATTCCTACAATATTGGTAGTAATTCTTGAAATTTGATAAAAGAGAGCTAAAATAAAAGAATGATCCATTTGGCAATCCAGTATTACCCAATTTGATCTAGATTTGATTTAAAACTACCCTCAGTCCCTTGGCCTCAAGTTTTATCATTTATAGAAACTATATAAGTTGAAAATATCAAGAAGCATGGTCCTGGAAGTGGGCCAGCGTGTTTTTATCAATTACTCCATCCGTTTCAATTTATTTAACTGGTTTTTTATTTGACACAATGTTTAAGAAAGTAAAAAAAAACTTTTAAATCTTGTGAGACACATTCTTCGTTGAGATAAACTAAAAAGAAAAGTGAGACGAGATAAACTAAAAAGAAAAGTGAGACGAAACTAGAGGGGTGTATATAAATTATAAGAGTAGCTAATAAGATGTATAAAAAAGAAAGTGAAGCTATTTAAAGATGGCAGTTTGAAGTAGTTGGTGCTTAAATCAGAAAGGGCAGGGCCTTACAGTATTGTCTTAGTAGTACTAGTTGTCTAGTTATAACATATTTGTGCTTCAAGAGTAACATGCCCTCCATGTGCTATGTGGAACCCTTTGGTCACCATCATCCCCCACATATATCATATTGTTGTGTTGTACACATCACCGTGCTCCGGTTAGTACATGGACCACCAACGATCAACGTCTCATATGCTTGACTAGATGTCTCAGGTTCAACTAATACGAAACCTTTTTTTTTAAGTGGACCTTACGAGTGTGTAAACTTGTATTTTTTTATAATTAGGGATATGCAAAAAATGTGCATTAATTTTCACTTGAAATAGTAATAGTGTGAAAAAATTGTTGCATACTTTGGTTTTCTTGATTCACACTCATTGTTTACTTATAGCACCTAGTTTTATTGAGTCTCGTTTCCAGTACTATCCATTTTGAGCTAACCATATCTCTTTCTTGCATGTGCATTTCCCTCTTCTTGTTACAAAATAATCAACAAGAATTCAAACTGCCTATTTTGTTTTTCCTGTTCTTTCCTTAGCAACAAGGGATATGGAGAACGGGATGGAATCGAACTCTCATCAACAAGATGAAAGTAGTTTAGTCGCTCAACTGAGCTATTAAGATTCACCTTGAAATCGATAACTAAGTATAGTGATTGTTGATCTATTATCTTGCCTGATGATAAATTGATGAATTCAAGATTTAGACCTTCTTTCTTTTCTTTTTTTGGTTTTCATCTGGCGTATGTCTGGTACATGTATTAGAGTTTGACTAATTCAAAATAGCATATTGGAGGGCTCATTTCTAGGGACAGAGCTCACAATAGGATTTCTCTATTAAAAAGTGGAGGTATCTCACCCATCCTACCATAACTCATGTTAGTTAAAATTAGAGTCAATAAAAATGGATGTGATCATGTATCATATATTTACAACAATTAGTGTAGTTTCTAACCTCCTTTATTTTATTTCTTTTCTCCCCTATTAATGGAGCCAATTGAAAGCTTTTTGTTTGGGAGATTTAATTTAATTTTGTGGAGCTCATATTGGAGTTATAAATGGGGGTTCATTGTGTGATAACAACTTTTCTGCAAATTGATGTTGGTAAGGAAAAGGACCACTTTGAAAAAGGAAAATCAGAATAAGAATCATAATCTAATTATAAATAACTCACGTCTCAATCTAGTTACATTAACTATATCATTTTCATCAACTTGCACCTCTAAAATGTTGTATTGGTATGTCATCAACAATACCAATACAACATATACAAAGCCTTTTTTGGCCTCTAAATAAAGCATCAAATGTTTTTTTTTTAATTTCATATAGTTAATCAAGGAATGTGGTCCATTTGGTAATTCTAATAAAGGTGTTTCATTTACTATGAGGAAATGCCAAGCAACAAATACAAAATGTCAATTTAAATGAAATATAAGTACTACCAACTCCACTTTTACTTCTCCGTATTCATATTTACTTGCTCAATTTAAAAAATCAAGAGATAAACTATAGTCATTCTTCAATGTAATTCCCAAAGCATTGAACTAATCATCTAAAGATGTAGAAAAAAATATCATTTTATTTATTATTGCTTAAGAGACGTATTAAATCAATATTGAACAAGTAAAAATGGATAGAAAAAGTATATAATTCCGACTAACATAGGTTTTACAGACCGAATCAAAGGAATCAGTTACCTTGGAAGTTAAAGTTGCTAAAGTTTTAGTATTGATTTACACGGAAAAAAACTGTTTACCTAGGACTGAAAGATTCAAAATTTAAACAAAAATACTCACTCCGTTTTAAAATAAGTGGTGTTCTTCTAATCATTATCTTACTTGACCATGAAATTACTAATTCAAGATATTTATTAATGATAAGTTAGTAAATGAATACTTTCTTAAAAGGTTGTTCAAGTTTTAAAATAAATATCACTTAATTTGAAACAGAGAAAAATAATTCGGACTAACATAGGTTTTAGAGACAGAACTAAAGGAATCAATTACGTTGGTAGTTGGAGTGGGTTAAATTTTATTAGTAGTATAGATTTACACGAAAAAACCTGGTAACCTAGGACTGAAAAGATTCTGCTGAAATTTAAAAAATAGGACGGAAAGATCAAATTGTATCTCTATGTGATATATATAGGTCAAATCCGATGTTGTCTCGTTTAATTTGTACTGTAAAGGAGTCGTTTGATGTGAGGTAAAAATATAGTAATAATTTTAAGATAAAATATATAATTATTTTATCTCACAATTGATTTGAGGTTTTAAATAATACTTAAATTATTTATTCTACAAATGATGTACTTATTTCGAAATAATCATAAAATAATTGTTCTAAACCAAAGGAATCCTAATACTAAAGAAGTGCAAATGCTTTGCTGTTAAATCTTGTTGCAGCATTTAACTTTTTTAAGAAAATTAAAACTGAATAGAATCCTTTTTTTTTTGGTTTTTGGTTTTTTCACATGGTGTCGGTTATCCACATTGAAATCTGATTAAGTTCGAATTTACATCGGAAAGTCCCAAATTGGGGGATAAAGCACTTTCTAATAAAGGCAACTCCGTATCCAAGGGGACTCAAACTCGAGACTTCTTAATTAAGAATAAAAAAGTATTTATCATTCAACCACAACCCATATTGATAACGGAATAAAATCAATAAAAAAAACTTTCTGAAAAAGTAAGGTCGTATTTCGTACTTGTGAGTACACTGTACACTTACTGCTCACCCGTGATTTCTCTGCACGCACTACCTTCAATTATGCTTCTGTAATAGTAATTCTATCATTTATTGTTTGTTCCGTTCTAAAATATTTGTCTATGTTTTAATTTTTTGAAACTAAAAGTATTTGAACTTCATTAATATTTTAGAATATACTTTTTATTATATTAAAATAAGAAAATTATAATTTATATTTTATAGTCTCTCCGTATTATTTTAGTATCCTAAATATAATTTTTAAGCTATTAAATTGTTTTGCTAATTTAACTTCAAAAATTATTTCAATTAACTATTAAAAAGCAAAACATGATAGCTAAACTATTAAGTTATTCC